GGGGTCTGCTAATTCAGGATCTTTACCAAAGGGTCCTCCCAATAGCAAGTCTGGGAAAATACCCACAGGGCACAAGATAAACCAGCTAGCTGCACAGAAGGAGAATCAGAGAAATAGAACTAGGCTGTCAGCAGCATTAGGATTTTGACTGGTCAGAATTCCAAATGGGGTGCCTTCAACAGGTGGGCCTCTGAAGGCCAGGCACATAGCTGGTCTCCATAGTATTTTAAGATCTGACAACAGAACCAGGAATCTTGCAGATTTATTAATTTTGATAGGTCCTCAAGACACTTCCTGAATGCCAGTGTGCCAAGAGCTGGAATACAAAGATGTGAGGCCCAGCTCCAGGTCTCTATGAGCTTCTGACTGTGAGGACATGGGTGTACTAACCGTGCCAGCTCAGGTATTGGTGCTACGACAGGAAAGCTCAGGGTATCTAAACCCCCAGCACAGGAAAGAGGGGTTGGGAGCCAGTGCTGCCTCAGCTGAGTCCTGAAGGCTGTGGTAGCCTTCCTTCCAGGAGGCAGTAGAAACAGCATGGGCATAGGAAAGGGCCTCGGACAGCACAGTCACTTGGGATGGCAAGCCTTTCAGCTCTTTAAGGGGGCAGCCCAGTGAGCGCCATTTATGGCTCAGATTAAAAGACAATTCTGTAGTCCAGCCTCATAGGCTCTAAGAAGTCAAAGGACCTGAAACAGAGGCCCAGGGTTCACCAGGCTGTTGAGGAAGCCACATGCTTCTGTGTCCTGGGGAAGGGTCAGCCCAAGAAGGCAGAAAAACATGCCAGAGGCAGGAGGAGTTAATGTATACACCCAAATCCTTTTAAGGCCCACAGGTTTACCAAGATATGAAGGCTGAAATGACCCTTGCCAGAAAAGAAATTAGGGGAGAATTAGGGAAGGAGAACAAAATGATTCAAGGAAAGGCTGAAGTGACAGATGAGGGGAGCTTTTGGCAGGACATAGGTAATAACTGACATTTAGGACACTTCACAGGGCACAGGGCTTTTATTGGTAACAGAATTGCCCATTGGTAAACAACCCTCAATGTGTATGGTAACCCCATTAAGATTGTGTAACAATTAGGCAGACACACAGCTTCAGATTATGAAAAACAAGCCAAGCCATGTATAGTGTGTTCTCAATCACCTGTAAAAGAAGAGAGTATGCCTGAATGGAATGGAGGGAGAAACCATGATTATTCACATGTGACCCCTGCCAGCATATCTTTGTGTAGTACCCAACCAGGCTAGGGGATGACATAACTATACAGGACAGAGTGAGATCTTGTCTCGCATCTCCTAAGAGAGCAGGTACCAGAAACAAAAATAACTCCTAATAGCCCATGCACTTATCCAGAAGCTGGGCCAAGTCCTGTGGGTAGACCAGGGTTCCTTTCCCAGTATCAGCCTTTCCTCACCCTCCCCACTTACCCCTCAGTGTGGGAGAAACAGTGGGGAGGAGCCATCAAATACTTGGCCTCTGTATCCTCAACAGTCCCCCCTGCTGCTAACGCTAAGGTACCACAAAGAAACTGGGGTCCTGGAAAGACAGTGAGGGGACTTGAAAAATTCTGCAAACTTGGATCTATCTTTGGGTTTCAGAAGACCTTTTTTCAGAGATCTAATTGTAAGAACACCCTGAGAAAACCAATCTTTACTCTGGAGGGAAAAGTGGTCCTTTGAGATGAGTGACAATCTAGAAGTGTCCCAAAATGCAATAAACACGAGACAGGAAGACCCCTGGAATTGACTGCGTGATTTTTGCACCTTGAGCATTTTTACACCTTGCCATTTACACTAACCAACAAACTGGGCCTTTGTCACAGAAATAAAAAGCCCACTATCCTGACTCCACACCTCAAAAAAGGCAAGGGTTTATTAATGAGAACTCTTGTTAGATTATCTACCCTGTTTATAGATATAAAACATTAGGTGCCTCCAGGGTTCAGTCTTCTTTTTTTTCCATATACTCTTCTGGGAAGGCCGATCCCACTACTCCCTGGCTTTACTGCTACACAGGAAGGAGTCCCCAAAATGTTCTTGAGCCCAGTACACTCTTCTTGGTTCCAGACCGACATATATTCACCTACTGTTGAGAAGTCTTACTATTCCTTAGCTCAACATCTCCCAACTTCAAGTCATCACCTGCCCCCAAGCCTGTCCTCCTCCTGCACACTGTTTGTGGCATGGACCAGGTGCTAGTCACTCAATCTTGGACTGTTCTCTAAATCCTCCTTTCTCCCTTACCCTTCCCCTACCCCCACAGCTGCTTGTCTCATGGTTTTGCTCTCCTTTATGTACCTCACTGTCCTTTATTAATGCTGGGCCTTGATTCTCTAGAGGTGCTATGGTGGTCCCTCAACCAACCAGGTCTCAGTGAAACCCTTCATCAATCCACCCTGGCAAACGCAATCTGATCAGTCACTCATAGACCCAAGATCTCTTGGTGACTTCCCACTGCTCCCAGGGTAAAATTCAAAGTCAGGCCTGGTACTCAAGGCCTCTTCCAATCTACTGCCAGCTTAGCTCCTTAATTTCATCTCCCTCTCTTTATCCCAACCACCAGAGTTACCCACTGCTCTTGTTCTAACAGGTGGGTCATGCCCCTGTTACTTCACAAACACTGTCTCTGCCCGGAAGGCTCTTTCCCTCACATGCTCTTGCCATTCCTATTCATTCTTCAAAATTTAGCTGAAGCCTTTCTCAGAACTGCCACCAAAGGCCACCTGAATGCCACTCTGCCCCCTGTATGAAAGCACTTCCCACAGTGCCACAGTTCATTTGCCTGTCTCCTGACCGTAATGTAAGCTCCATAAGGGCAGAGAGTCACTCAACTTTGTAGCCACATAACACAGGGTACAGGCCTTCCTCATGTGAATTATGATTTCAATAAAGTTATGTGGAAAGAATTTTTTGAAATCATCAAATAATGAAGTTGATTCTTAGTACAAAGCTTAAAGTTTTGTTTCCTTGATAAAGTGACATTTGAAACAGTCACTGAAACTGCTGCTTCAAGTTAAAAAAGGGTTCTTTCAGGTACAGAGTTTTCATAACAGAAAAGGTATGCTCAAACAGGTAAAACATTGAACAGGATAAATGTTAAGTGCTTTTTAATAACCTGCTTCATTGTCTTTATGTACTTTAAACCAGAAACCACCTAAAAGCAAGCTTAAATATGTCATCTGAGGTTACCTTAGACTGTAATGAGAATTAGAAGCAACAATGCGTGCCCAAGGTCACTTAGCCTTCTGGACAGTCCTGGCGGGTGTGTTCAACAAGAGCTGGTGAGACCCACCTGCTGGTGAACTTGCAGATCCAGGGAGTGAATTTTATTATTGTTATGAAAGCCTAGCTAGATTACTTCTACACCCACCTCCTGCACCCCCACGGAAGGTCACCCTTACTACCAGATGAAAACCACTACACTAGTTATACTTAGCACCTTGTTCCATTTCAAGTGGTAGCCGTGGCCCATTCCATGCCAGGCAATGGGGGAGCAAAAATGAATCCAATGTGCTTCCAGCCCTGTTCATAGAGACAGACAAGCTCCTAAACAAAGCATTCACTACCAGATAAGTACTTCATGTAAAGGCTTTATCTGAAGGCTGAGAAGATTGGATGAGGGCCAACCTTCAGAATAAAAGGAAGCTGTATGTTGGGGCTGTTCCACTGGCTGTAAACCTTTGTAAATGTAACACCTTTGTGAGGTTTCTTGTCCTATTCTTATCTGGGTTTGTTTCTTCCAGCCTATATTCCTTAAAATGAAAAGAACCTGCATACTTGTCTTTAAGATAATTAAGCAAACCCACTGCTTACTATGTGCTGGAGATAGAATGTGAAGATGGAGCCCTCACCCTCAAGTGGAGGAAACAGCTACATCTGTTGAATAATGGCACAGTCTTTTTAAAATGCAAGTGCCTAGCAGTCCTTGCTGAGTCCCAAGCAAATATACAGCAAAATATAGAAAACCACCTTCAAATGCTTCTATCGGCTCTGGAAAAGCACACAGACTAATGACTTGGAATGACCACACCACCACCACCACCACCACATCAGCCATTAGGACTGTATCTCCTAGCACACCACTAATCTAATAATCAACCTGTGCCTCCACACAACCCAGGTGGTCCTTAGCCAACCTTTGGTCTTTAATGTTAGCCCAAAGAGTGGTTACCCAGGAGACCCATGGCACATGTTGCCATACTGGGTAAGGTCACCAGTACCCCTGCTTGGAGAAAACCATGACCAGGTGTAGCCCATCCCCAACCTCTAGATTAGATAGCACAGTGCCCAGGGACTCTGTGGAAACGCTTCTGTCTCTGAGCCCAGTGGTCATGCCAAAGGGGAACCTTCCAGACAGGACTCAACCGTCAGGAAGCAAGTAGGTGGGCATGTCATCCTGAGGCAAGCAAAAGGCAGGAAAAGGAGCAGTTGCAGGTCTTAGACGGCAAAACGTTATCAGAGATTCTGTTGCAATTTCGAGTCTAAAAGAGAATTTCTTACCCCTCAGAGACAGACAGTGGCCCGAGGAAGGGGTGACACAGAGCTCCTTCTGACTGATGCCTAGCCATGGGCCAGCCAGCACGCAGATGGCCCTGCCCGTGGGGCGAGTGTCCGGTGGAGCCGAGCTCTGCGGGGCCGCGCCGGGGGCGGCGGGCAGTGACAGGAAGACGATCTTGGGCCGTGGACCCCGGACCTCCGCGCAGCGGCCCGATCCGGCGCCCCACCTCGTACCGAGGCCCCACAGTCCCGACCCCCACGCCCCCTCCCTCAGTATGCCCCCGCCGCAGTGACAGCCGGCGACCTGGTCCCGCAATCCCTGAGGCCCTGCGGCAGACCATTACGCCCAGCGCCTGTCCCTCTGTGTACCCACCTCCTCCGCTGTGCTGCAGCGCTCAGCGCACCGCTTTCTCCTCAGCTCGCCGCGCAACTGAGCGCGGGCTTCTCTACGCATGCGCGCAGACTGCCCCGCCCCCACCGAGCACGCGCCACTGGTCGCCCACCCCGGGCGCCCCGGGTCTTTGCCACAGCGGACTCTGGGCATGCGCGCCGACGACCAGCGTCCAGACTGGGACAGTCCTGGCGCAGAGGGGCAGGGGTTCGCGAACGGTTACTCCTGGAGGGAGTCCAGTGGGCGGGCGGCTACCAGGCTCTTCGAAGGATAGGGCTAGGGGCATCAAAAGCCAGGAGGGCTGTCCGCCGGAGTTGTCGCCCCCTCCCGGGTTGCGTGTAGATAAGGGAACGCGCGTCCGTGTGGGCACGACGTCCGGCTACGAGTGGGAGCAGGGACGCCGGGGATCCTAAGAGCAGGACTTTAGAGGAAAAGCCCAAAGGCGGAGAAACACAGCTGGATGGAGACAAGAGATAGGGATACAACTGGCCAAGAAAGAGGCAGAACACAGGCAGAAACGCTGCAGAGACAGGGACAGGCATAGACCTAACCGGCAGAGAAACGGCAGGCACCGGGGACGGAGGGGAACCAGAGGCCTCCATCCTCGTTGGGGGAGGAGTCACAGCGCCCTCTGCGGGTTGTGGCAAGGGGTAGGGGAACCAATGTCACCAATCCCCAACGGGGTCTGTGGACATCTGTGGTGGCCACAGTGCCTATGGGTGAGTTATAGCGCTCTCTAGCGGGTTATGAGAGTCCATGAGGAGTGGAGTCACACCAACCCTTGGTGTGTTCTCAGACCTATAATGAGTGGGTCCTGGATTCATGAGGAACAGCATAACCTTTTGGGGGATGTTCCAGTGCCTTTTATAAAGATGAGAATGCCTTTTGAAGGACTATGACATCATGGGCAGGCGGGTCACAGCGGCCTCTGGAGTGTTCACAGAGCCCCAAAGTATTGGACCCCACAAGGAAGTTCGCAGCCTTCTGTAGGTGTCAAGGTACCCCCCACCTTGGAGGGGGCAGATAGCACAAGTGTAGGGGAATCCAAGAATCCTCGGGGATATGGCCAAAAGAAGCTTCCAAACAGATCTTTGGGGCTATGACATCCCTCTGTGTTGCTGTGTAGGTCACAACCCCTTCTGGGCCCTGGCTGGAGGCACAGAGGGAGGCTGGAGGCTGGAGGTCCTGCAAAGTCGGGTGGGGGCCCAGATGGCGACGCGTGGTATGCAAACACTGACTCGTCTGTAGACGATGCACTAGTTGAATGTGCACCTTGACGTAGGAGCAGTGCCCAGCCCAGCCCCAGCCTGGCCCCGCAGGCTCAAGCCACTCTGCAGCGTCCCCGACGCTCCCGCCTCTGCAGCCTCCTAAGGCGCCGCGTCCACGTGTCACGCCAGGGCAGTACGAGACTCCCGCGGTTGGCGCTGAGCCCGGGCCCTCGGCCCCCTGGATCCCCGGCCGTGGCTCCCTGGCCGCCCCCCAGCAGCAGGTAGCGGTGGCCAGGTAGCAGGCGTGGGCAGCCGCAGGCAGCATCCCGTGCTGGCACCCACAGTGCACTGCTCCCGCGCCTTGCGCGCTCCTCCCCGCTCCGGAACACAGCGAGCACGGCCACTGGGAAGCGTGTCCACAAGCCACGTGTCTCGCTGCGTGCACCCACCGCCACCTGCACCGCTGCAGCAGCAAGGGTGAGAGGGAGGCAGAGTCAGGTTAGAAGAGGGCAGGTCATGTGGAGGAGTACTGGGTGTCCTTGGCTGGGAGGGAAGGTAGAGGAGAGCCACAGAGGACACCCACTGGAGAGGGAGGGCACAATGAGAGACCCAAGGGCTGAGGAATGGTCTGGGGCCCAGCAAGGGTCAGGGTATCCAAAGGAAAAGTGGGGAGGACAAGGTGAGAAGGTGAGGGCAGGAGACCTGAGGGCTGCCTACCATAGTCCTTCCTACAGAACTTCTTCAGGCTGATACGGTAGCTGCCACGAGTGGGTTTGCAGTGCAAATCGCAGTCTGGGGATGGGGGTAAGGTAGTAGGGAGGCTGGCACAGATCCCCCACTTCCTTCCCTCAACCTTTCCTCCTCCCCTTCTTGATCCCACAGCACCCCTGCCCCCCATGGACATGCCAGTCTAGGACCGCGATCTGTGTCCGCTCACCCTGAGGCTCCACAGGGCTGCTCTCTTCAGTAGGTCCAGGGACAGGGGTCTCTGCAGAGAGGGTGGAAGAATGGCCTGCATTCGAGCGGGGCAGGGGGACCTGGAGCACTCAACAGACAGGTAGGCAGCGGCAGGGAGCTGGGGCAGCCTAAGCAGGACGAGGTCACTCACTAACACAGGGTGCCACTGGAGAGCGACTCTGCTGGAAACCAGGAGCGCAGCGATTGCAGGTGAGGCCAGTGACACCATCCTTGCAGGGACACTGGCCTGTGGTCTGGTTGCAGGTTTTGCCAGCAGCACCAACAGGATGACAGTCACAGGCTGAGGACAAAGGTGAAATGGTCAGAAACCCATCTGGGGATTTTGGAAACTAGAGGGTGAGGATGTGCAGGCTCACCCCTGCAAATGTGGCGATCACTTGGTGCACGGCCTGGGTCTCGATAGAAGCCCTCCCGGCAGTAGTGACAATGGCGGCCAGCAGTATTGTGCCGGCAGTTGAGGCAGACACCGCCACTGCGGCGGCCTGACAGTCGGTACAGCTCCATGTTGAAGCGGCAGCGGCGGGCATGGCCATTGCAGGAGCAAGCTGCAGAGAGGGATGGGTCAGGGGCAGGCTGGCTGGGTCCAGGATCCCCAGACCACCCTCCAAAGCCTCACCAAGGCAGGCGTGGGCTTCCCGGGCTGTGGCCCGCTGCCACGGCCTGTCGCAGTAGAATGGCTTGCAGCGACCACAGTCAGGGCCCTCGGTGCCATGCTGGCAGTCGCAGATCAGGTGGCCCTGGGTGTCCAGCAAGCACCGTGAGGCATGCCCATTGCACTTGCAGCGCCCGCCCACCTGGAGCTCAGTGGCTGAGTAAGTGTAAGGGACCATGGCCTCGGAGCCCCCAGTTTCTCCCAGCATGGCAGGCCTTGTGAGCACTACTTGGATGTCCGTAGCGGTCACCCAGTCTTGGAGCACAGGGCTGCTGTCCAGATCCAGGCCTGGCGGGCTGCTGTCCTGCACGCTGAAGGCCAAAAGGCCACCACCATCAGGCTGCGTCTGGGGCTCAGGGAAGCACAAAGCTTCAGGCCCGGGGCCAGCTGGGCCATTGGCAGGGGCAGGTGGGCGGCCGTAGTCCAGGTCACAGCAGGAGGAGAAGAAGCCCAGTGGCACCCAGCTTCGGCCATGGTCCTGCGACTTGAGTAGGGCCACTGAGGTAGGGGGCGTGGAGCAGAAGCGCAAGCTCACGAACACCAGCTCAAAAGTTTTGCCCAGGGATACTGTGAGGGTCACGTTGAGGGGCGCCTGCATCAGCCAGTCCGAACGCCAGCACAGAGGGCTTGTGGTGCCCCCTGTGAAGGTCAGGAGGGCAGCAGAATGTGTACGTGGAACATCAGAGGAGTCACAGGTCTGCGTGGGTGGCTGCCCACACGTGCTGGACGCCAGGACCTCGCGGCCCAAGGCCGCATTCACTAAGCCAGGCACGCAGCCTCGAGGCGCACCCCCTTCATCGTGGCAGGGGTCAGTGTGCCCTGGCGGCCCAGGGCTCAGCGCGGCCCAGAGCGTGCCCGCGGTCAGCAGCAGCGCCCAGGGCCAGCTGGGCATGGCCGGAACCTCCGTGTGTCAGCCAGCTAGCCGTGGCCCCACGCTGCTGCCCTCCAGTGGGTAGAGCTCCAGTCCGAAGCTCTGCGGGCCGGTGCACAATGCTGAGCAACCCCAGGCTCCAGGTAGCCCCAACGGGGGCCCAGAGGTGGGAGTAGACTGGCAAGCCCCGGGCCTAGTGCAGCAGCAAGAATGTTGGCGAGTCCTCCTGCTGGGCCTGGAGCGATGACAGCCTTCGCCCAAGCTCCCGGCGCCTCCGCCTGCGGAGGCCCCACCCACCGCACGCTGCTCACACTCACCCACGGGAGCAGGTCTCCCGGCCTCCCGGGAATTGCCAAAGGAGAGCGGGCCCTGGGGTGCCCGGGGCCTCGCTACCTCCTCCGGGCTGCAGCGAGTGCCAGGTAGGGGTGGGGGTGAGCAGCAGGCTCTAGCCGGGCCCAGCCGGAGGCGGAGCTGCAGGGGCTGGGAAGGAGGGAGGGGAGAAGAGGGGGCCTCCTCGGCATAGCGGGAATCAGAAGCAGATTCAGACACAGGCTAAACCAGCGGGGGAGGGGCCGAGGAGTCAGGAATGCGCGGCCGGGAGGGGTCTGGAGGGGAAAGTTCAGCCACGCAGTCTGTGGAAGACCACCCAGCAGGGTCACTGGCAGGCAGCCAGACCTTGACTGATCCTGGGGCTGTGTTACATGCTGGGCAGGGGGTCTGGCAGGTTCTTCCCTCAGGCTCATCAGGCAGGCTGTGCCCTGGGTGGGAAGTCTGGTGCTTGGATGCTCCCTGATGTCGGTAAAGGACATTCTCAGGGCATGGGAAACCAAGCCATCCTGGTGGTTGTGGGGTGTCCCCAAGGCGGCATTCTGCTCCAGTAGAAAGAATCCAGGACGGGAACCAGGTCTGATTTTGAGTCTAAGCTGCTCTAATTTCCAGCCGTATAGTTCACATTCCTTAAACTGCTCAAGCCTCAGTTTCCTCTTTGGCCACATGCCTTGTTATTTAGCATTCCCAGAGCTGGGTTGGGGTATTTGATGAGCTGTTGGTTCAACATACGGGAGTCCCTCCTGCCTTTTGTTCAGGGGGGCTTGGATACCTATGGAGAGGTAGGGAGAGGGGTTTCATTCATGGGGGTAGGGGTGTTGGTTACAGATGTGTGTGCCTTACCCCTGAGCCTGGCCCACATACCAGTAAGGTTGGGCAGGGAAACTCAGGAGAAGCCCAGGTAGGTAACCTGGACACCAGCTGGGGATGGGGCAGTTGCAGCTGAGAGTGGCCCCAGCCACGAGGGTCCAGAAATCACTCTGGATGGAGAGACCCCTTCCCAACCACCTTGAGGTCCTTGATGGAAGGGGGGCAAGCATCCCAGAAGGAGTTGGCCCCATGTGGAAAGGGAAAGAAACATGGGAACACATCCCACATGAGAGAGCTCTGAGGCCTAAAGTTTCAGATGGGAGGCTGACTCCAGGCCAAACCCTGCAGCCAGTGGAGGAGGCCACTTGTCTGTATTAGTGGAGCTACCATCCTCTGCTGGGCCTGAGACACTGCAAGGACTCACAAGAGGACGGAGAAAAGCAGAATGCATGTGCTATTTAGGAGGGGAGGAGCAGGAGGACACTGGAGCCTCCTGGGAAACTGAAGAAGAGAGAGCAAGAGGCCTTGACCTTGGAGAAGAAGGAGGAAGAGAGAGTGATGAGGCACCTGGAGAGACTGACACCCTCTGGTCAGGCCCATTCCCAGCCTGACTGGCACAAATGCAGGGTCGGGGTGTGTGCGGAGGGAATGACGAGATGATGGGAGACTCTGGAAGGGCTCACCCAGGAGGGTCACAGGGGTTGCTGGCTTCTCCCTTCACATTTAGCAGCAACAGGATGGCTGTGGGTACCCACAGAGCAGGTGTCATGAGGCACTGTCCCTCAACTTCCCAATAAAGAGAATGTGCCCCTTACAACACAGAGCTGTAAGCAAACGAGCGAGCTGGCAGAGTGTAGCTTCCTATTTTTTTTAAAACACGAATCATTTTTTTAAATCAGGTTTTTAATGTGTGAAATCTGAATCCTGTCAGTGACATATACATACCTACATGAATTTGTTTTAGGTCAAACTGTGGCTTCATTAATTTTTAAATTCACAGCTCCAAGCCACTGAGCCAGCTCTCTGTACCTTGACAACCTTTCTTTCCAATGAGATGAGTCCCCTATAACCTCTGCTAATTCCATCATAGTATTTATCACATTGTATTTTAATTACCAGTTTATCAGTCTCCCGCTAGATTGAGGTTCCTTGAGAGCAGGGACCTTCATGTTCACTTTGCCTTGAGTAAGTACTAAATTATTTGCTAAACGAGTAATGAAAAATATTTCTATTCAAATGGTATGTATTTACCCATAATTACTGAGCAGTAATCTATTACTGTTCTATAATCTGACAAAATCCTCAGATTTAAACAAACTGATACCAGGGTTTGACTTAGTTTGTGCTAAATCATTACTAAAATTTGTGGCTTTGGGACATTTTATAAAAACCTGGTACTTGTACACATACTGATAAGAACTTTAAAATTCATCATACATTTACTTTACTTTTTAGCTTGACCTGGTAAATCTTTAGCTTCAACAATTTTGGCTGTTATATAAGGAGATCCTCCCTTGTCTGGGTGATTTAAAAGCATAATTTTTCGATGAGCATCTCTTGTCTTTCCTTTATTGGCAGTAGGGTTTACACCTAGTATTAATGTTGCTTCTGTTTTGTCATTTTTGGTTCAAACCCACCTCTGTAACAGCCACCACTGAAGGCCTTCTTCAAGTGTAGTTCTAGGCTTCCCATACAGGCAGCAAAGAATTAATGAAAATGTTCAAGAAGCCTCACAGATTTTGGTAGACTTTGAAAAACTTGTTTGGCTCTGGCTGGCGTGGCTCAGTGGACTGAGCACCAGACTGTGAACCAAAGGGTCGCTGGTTCAATTCCCAGTCAGAGCATATGCCTGGGTTGCAGGCCAGGTCCCCATTGGAGGGGCGGGAGGGGGGACGCGTGAGAGGCAACAACACATTGATGTCTCTTTCCCTCTTTGTCTAAAAAATAAATAAAATTTAAAAAAAAGAAAAAACTTGTTTGATTTCAGGCTCCATATGCTTCAAAGCTTGCAAAACATAATGGACTGCTCCTGCAGCAGCAGTGGTTGGTCCAGCTGCTACCACTGTACTGGCCATGGCTCCAGCTTGGCTCTGCTGCCTCTGCCGAGAGTGTGATTCATCCCACTCCACAGGCTGTGGCCACCCACTCCACGCCTTTACCAGAAAGCAAGGCAGCCACCACCAGCAAGGATGAAACATCCAGACGCTGGTGCCCTGGGAAACACGGCATAACATGAATCATTTATACTTTGTCTACACAAATACTTAAATACTGTATTGCACCAGCACCCAGTCATGGCTCTGAGCCTGTGTTCTGAGCCCACGGCCAGTTCTGGGGGGTAGTGGGCTGCCCTACCACGTCCACTCCAATCTCCAATTGCGGTAGCAACATTCGGATGGCTGTGAGCAGAGTCCCCTCGCTGGGCAGCAGATGTAAGTGCCCCACCGCTCCTTGGTTCCCAACAGCTGGCTAGTCCAGGCTGTAGGACAGAGCTCCTCACAGTGGGTCTAATTACCAGTCCATGGTTAGCTGGATGCTGTCAGAGCTCATCCTAGTGCCCTGACTCCCTACTGGAGACAGATTCCTCTATTGGCTGGGGAGGGAGGGGGTGCTGCTGTACTTCTGGGGCTGTTACTGCAGGAAGTCCGTCTCTTCTGGGCTGAAGAACATCTTCACCAGGTTGTCTGTTTGTATCCTGTCCAGCTTGCTGTGCATGCAAGCTGGCTCCGGGAGCAGTCAAAGTCCGAAAGAGCACCTTCCCAACCACCTTTTTATTTTAAAAAAATATTTTATTTATTTTTAGAGAGAGGGGATGGGAAGGCGAAAGAGTGGGAGAGAAACATCAGTGTGTGGTTGCCTCTCATGTGTCCCCCACTGGGGACCTGGCCTGCAACCCAGGCATGTGCCCTGACTGGCAATCGAACCAGCGACCCTTTGCTTCACAGGCCCAGCCACCTTTTTAAAGGCCTTCTGGTTGCCATCCTCAAACGCTGCCTGGGATGGGAAGAGTTCTGGTGGGAGAGTGGGTGATGCGATAGATCCTTCGAGGACCTTAGAAGCAAGGAGGTGACCAGATGGCCACAGTGGGGGAAAATGCCCAGGCCCAAAACAGGAGTTCCACAGGGTCTGAGACAAGCTTCCATGGAAACCCTTGCTGTCTGGATTCAGGACTCCTGCCAGGAGAGAGGAAAGGGGGAACAGCTTCTCCTTTTTCTGTCAGCCTTTGAGGCTTTGTCTGCAGCTCAGCCTCCTTGCTGAGGTCTGCAGAACATCTGGTGGCTTCTGGTGTGGTGGAAGGAGGCCCCCAGGGCTAAGCCTGTGGTGAGTGCTCATGGGGGTGAACCCTGGGCCTGTTGCACAACCAACTTCCCTGGGAGGAGGCTGCAGGCAGCAGGGTTTCCTCCCTGGAATGGCCCTCTGCACACATTCTCTTTTGGCCCCCAGGGCAGCCCTGGCAGATGATGTGATGAGAGTTAGGCGGGCCTTCCCCTCGGCCTCCAACCCAGCTCACTGCTTCTTGTGGACTCTGCCATTTGTTCCCAGCCCCTGACTGAGGCCTCTCACACCACCTCCCTCCTCCCTGGCCCTGCACAACCCTGGTACCTTAGAAGAGGCTCTGCTTCCCTGCCCCCTCCAGCAATTCCTCAGGCTGTTGCATTCTCCCTACTCCTTCCTCACCTCACTCCTGCTGGTTTTGGAGTGTTCTGGGAAACTGTCTGGGGGAGGCACGGCGGGGCCTGATAATCTGAGGCCTCAGAGGGCTGGGGTATTTCCTTTAAAAGGGTGACCGATTAAATACTCCTGGCCTAGCCCAGAGCCTGCTGTTTCTGTAAGATGCTTTCAAGCCACCACTTGTTTACAGAGCACAAAGATATATGTATTAAACACCTATTATGCCTTGAGGAGCTTCCAACCCGAAGAGGAAGACAGATGACTGGGGACAAGGAGACAGTACACTGTTCCTCTCTCCGAGGACGGTGGCCAAGCCGACTCCGTGGCCCACTGCCAACCTGCATTCCGCACTCGCTACAGAGCCCCCCATGCCGCACTCTTGCCTGCCCTGTCCTTAAGCCAGGCACGCTCTGCAGTTGCAATCAGCTCTGCACACCAAGTGAAATGCTGAAAAGCAACAGTGGGCACAGAGCGGTGAGAAATGGGAAGAGCCGATGAGAGAGGAAAGGGAAGTGGCCTCTGAGTCCCCTTCGCCTGCGCCTCCCAAGAATTAGGGGTGGGGGTTCAGTGACCTATGCACTGTACTGTGTCTGCCCAGCCTGGGTAAGGTCCGGAGGGAGGAGGCTCCTGGCTGGCCATGACCTTGCTGGGAATCAGCCCTTGTGCATGAGGCTCAGGGTGTTCCTGGCTCTTGCTGCCTTTTACAATACCTCCTCTCTGCCCCCCACCATGGCAGCCAGGAGTCTGAGACTGGCGTGAATGGGGCCAGCGACTCACCCTGGGTCAGGTCCAAGCAGGGTCCATGCAGGGAGGTGATGGCTATGATCTTTTGCAGGGCAGCCTGTGAATAGGGCCACGTTGCTGAATGGTAGGACACATGGAGGCCACAATCCCCATCCCCACCCCTTGCCGTGCTCTCCATGGCCCACAGAAATGCACAGGGCCCAGGGATGTTGGCAGGTGCCATGGGTGAAACTTGGGTGCGCTCATGCCACCCATGAGAGTTCTCCGCTGCTTTTTGACTTGATGGGGCAGATGCTAATCTACATGGGGTCTCCTTTTCCTGCTCTGGGGGCCTTGTGTTGGGGCCTACCCAGACATCCCCCTCATACTATCTATAGCAAACCCCTGCCCAAGAAGGTCCAGGTCCCCAGTGGCCCACAGGACACCACCAGTGCCCAGGATTAGCCCCAGCTATATGGGTCTTTGGACACCCATTTGGGCCTGACTAGGGATCCAGGTGGACGGCACCCCTGCCCTCGTGGGACGCCTTCCAGTAAGGAAGGTGCACAATAAACCAAGTGAACCAGTGGATAAAATAATTCTGGTGGAAACTACCAGCTATGGAAACTGAGTCTAGGGTGGTGGTCAGGTCCACCCTGAGGATTAAGGGCTCCTCAGGATCTGAGCACCTGGGCAGCTCTGGAGGCACCAGTGGATTGGCAAGCTGTCCGTCAGGGTCTGTCTGTACCCCCTTTCCTGGGTCCTGTTCTGGAGTGATCGGTACTGTTCCATTCCCTTAAGGCCCCTCATTGCAACGAAGCCCCTGGTTTTTCCTTTTGTAATTTGTCATCTGGTCCCCAGCAGGCAACGAGACTCAGGACTCTATGTCCAAGATTTCTAGCCTGCTGGACGGTGGGGACTTTTGTAGTAGGGACTCCTGCAGGGGACCTGGAGCCACCCTGAAGCTGTTTCAACATCACCCAGCTCACCCCTTGTATCTGCTACACTTCACCTGGCTCTGAGTTACCTGCCCCCTGGGCCTGGGTGTCCCCTGGGGCAGAGGCTGGTGCTACTCCCTGTCTCAGTCACTGTCCACTCTAAAGGCCAGTGCCTCAGCTCTGAGCATTGTGCTTGGTTGTTGGATGTGCTCAGTAAAGGTTCATTTAAAAAAATGCCATAGCCTCCCAGACCTCAGCAGGGTCCAGCACTGTGAAGCATCTCGAATCATCTCATTTATCTTCACCTTAGCCCCAGAGCTAATAACCACACTGTGGACAGTGGAGACAACACTGCGAACTGAGGCTCAGAGTCCTTAAGAATCTTGCTGAAAGTCTCATAGCAGCAAACAAGTCACAATGTAGACTCCAATTTGCAACTGGTTTAAAACCAGAGGCCATGACCTTGACCTCTACTTTTTTGCCTTCCAAAGCAACAATTCCTTCAACAGGAGGGGCAGGAACCCCAAAAGGGGTGATAGTGGAGAAAGTGAGAGGTGTTCAGTAAAGGGTCTGTTCTCTGGTGGTTGCTCAGTGTCGGGGGCCCACCCTGGCCACAGCAATGGCCCAGGCGGTGGTGGGTATGGGTGCCAAGATAGATGGCTGTGGGCACATAGTGCCCACCTACTCTGATACATGCCTGTGGCTTTGTGTCTTCCAATGAGCCCAGCACAGATCTAGGCACCTGTGCTGGAGCCGGTACATGAGGTGAGCGCCCAGCGCAGCCATCCTGGGTGGCCTTATCCCTGTCTTACGATACAGCAGGGATATGAGTGTTCTTGGTAAATATACTTGATATATTCTTGACAAACAAAAACACAATAAAATAAAACAAATATGCACAAAATCCCACCTTTGTAGGATATAAATATATATACTTTCTAAAGTAGCTTTAATGTCACACAAGCAGCTTTTGAGCCTAAAGTGAGAAAACAGAGGTAGCTAAGAAAAGCCCCCTAGGGGCCTTTGAACTCCCCAAGACTGTGCAGGGCCCTGCTGTACCCTGAGCAGGTTTAGCAGCTATGAGAAGGGCCCTCGTTCCTCAGGAAGAGCCAGGAGGCCGTCCCCACTCCTTGGAAATCTGGTTTCCCAGGGGAGTATAGGAATCTCAGCCCAGACCACCGCACAAGTGAAAATCCCCTCAACCCCTGTTCATTAAACTCCGACCAGAGAGGGGTGCTCTCCCCAACAGACCTAGAACCAGCTTGCCCTGCGGCAGAAAGAGTTCAGTCAGCAGGCTCATCTCGAAGGATGGTGAGGAAACGCTGGCCTCCTTCGCAGAGAAGGCTGTGCACAGCCCGGTACAGCGCCAGCCAGGCTGGTCCCAGTGGCTCCTGTGTGCTCACCAAAGGGAGGAGTTCTGCCATCAGGACCTGGGATGAGATGCAGGGTCAAGGTTGTGGGAAAGCCTTGTCCCAGACAGGTAGCCCAGGGCTCCACAAGGGGTGGGGCAATTCCAGAGCAGGCTTTGGGGCACCATACTCCAGCCCCTCCCTCCTCCCAAAGCTCCCAGCTCTCTCCAGTGCTGGCAAGTGCACAGGCCCAGAGGCTCCCATCCTCCTGGGGGTCCTGTGGGGAGGAGCATAGACAGGCTCTTGAGCTCTCACAAGACTCCAGACCTGGAATCTTCCCCATGGCCCAGGCTCTCCTGGAACCCACACCGTCACCTACTCCCCACCTCCCACTCTGGGAGTACCTTTTGCAGGTGGATCTGCTGGTCCAACATGCCCACCCGAAGTCTGAGGGCTGCCAGGGTCTGCAGCTCCTGGGTGCTGGAGTAGAGAAGCAGCTGGGGGCTCCAGATGGAATCTGCTCCTCCTCCACAGGACGGTGAGGCCCTGGGGAGTCTCCCTTCAGGCCATGGGCCTGGCTGCTGTTCCACTACTGCTGTGAGGACAGGGGGATGTGGCCTTATAGGGTGACAGCCAGGCACCTCTTCCCCACTCTTCTCTAAGGTTGCAAAGTTTTCCTTTGCCTCCCAGATGAAGCCCTATTGTCCAGTCATCTCTTGCAAGGCTAGGCCAGTTGTTTGCCAATACTTCTCTGATTCTCACATGCTACTTTTTCAATAACTGGACAGATAAGCAAACTACTTATAGTTGTGGGGCTTTGTGTGCTGGGAGACCTGCCCCGACTGGTCCCACAGGACAACTAGGGAGAACTCAGAGCACAGTGGGGTGACAAGGGGAAGGGTCTGCCTGCCTCTGCTCCTAGCTGGCTGTTAAAGTCCCAGTGCTACCTATGGCTAGAGGACCTTGACCCCTGACCAGACTTCAGCACGGTGGGTGGGGGTCTCACCTGTCCGAAGCTCCTGTAGCCTGCAGAGACACTGCCCGACAAGGGCCTGCAGTCCCTCCAAGGTAAGCAGGCAGCGGTATTCCTGCATCCAGTCCTTGGGGTCTATGAAAGGGTCAGGGAGGGCAGGCTGGGTCCAGGTTGGTCCTGCAGCCTTCTCTACCCCAAGACCTATATCAGGGTCCACTGACCTGTTGTGAGTTCCTCCACCATTCGCAGTCTCAGCAGCAAGCAGGCCTTTTGCAGGCGCCCCACTTCTGCCTCCACCTCTGCAGCACTGAGCCCAGAGCTGGGCCAACCTGACTGGACACAGGTCAGGGAAACTCCCCTGTGGTCAGTGCCCCCCCACCCCCAAAGGTAGGATCTGGGAGTAGCTCTAACCCTTCTAGGAGTTGCCCCTCATTCTAGGAGTTCTGTAACTCCTAGGAAGTGCTGAACTAGATACTCCCCCACCCCCAACCACCCTAGCAAATCCAGCAAGGATACAGTCATCTGCATTTTCTGGAGGAACTGGGTTTTGGAGGACATAGTAGCATCCATGGAATCACTGGTCTGTGTAGAGCTGAGCTGGGCCCACAGGCTGGGATGCACACACGGGCGCCCCAGGAACCAGAGAGAAATTGTTATTCCAGCCAGCTGGGCTGGGCCTCGGGAAGTAGGCAAGGGTCAGGGTAGGGGCTTCAGCCTGGGGTTTCTGGGCCTGCTGAGTGCCAAGAGGGTCCTTGGAGGCCTCGAGGAACTAAGAGGACACAGTCCAGAGAGCTGTCCCACTCTGAGAACTACTAGGAGAGAATTTGAGGAAGGAGGGAGGGCCTGGCAGTGACTGGTTACTAGGATGACTGGTAAGAGCTCTCAGTGCTGGCTCTGTGCCAGGCATAGTACACAACCTCAAAGGAACCACCTTGGTTAACATCTCTACAAAGCTAGTACTATTATTAGCACCTGCACATGGAAGACAAACTGGGACTGAAAGGCACCAAGTGCCTTGCTCAGTTTTATAGCTGGTAAGCAAGTAGCTGAGCTGGGAGCCTCAAAGCTCACTATGTCTAAAGTGACCATGGCAGTCTGAGCCGAGCAGAATTTAATACAGTGTCCCCACCTAGCAAAGAAAGCAGAGGGATTGTTGGAAAAGTCTTACCAACGTGGCCCCTTCCCCGTTCTGCACGCTCCCCTGGCTTCCCCTCTGCCTCCACCCAGTCCCGAGACTCAGGCTCACCGGGAATTCTGAGAAGCCGCCTTCCTGAAGGCCGTGGGTAGCCGCAGCAGGGTCCTGTCAGGGAAGCCGGTGCTCTGAGCAGCCTCGCCCCATTCTGGGGCTACAGACCCTACTCCCTGCTCAAAGCCCAGTCAGGGGTGAGGCTAACCACTCCCACCCCCTTGAACAGTGTGTCCAGAGTGACCCTGCGAGCCAGCCAAGTCCAGGCCTGCCACAGGGTACCCAGAGAGGGTACCACAAGCACAACCCATCTTGAGCCCCGCAGCTGGGTGGATAAGAGAACAGGACATTGGAGAACCAGGGAGGAGAGTGGAACAGGCCCTAGCTTATCAAGGCTGGCACATTCACAGCCAGCTGTTCCATTCTGCCAGCTTCAGGGCATGGGCCTCATGGGTAGTACTCCAGAACTCACATCCACCTCAATGTCCTGCCCTCCCTGTCACCCCAAACCCTGGACTCCAGCGCTAGCCAGAGTCTAATCAGGCAGAGAGCAGTTTCTCCAGTGAAGGTCTGGAAACCTACCCCTTGTCTTTGAGTGTGAAAGCTTCTGGGGCTTGAGGAGCAGCCAATGGAGCTATTTGTTGGTCCCTGAGGCTTGGCCCAGGCTTGGCATCTTGGGTCCCTCTCCCCTTACAGGTCTGATCCCCGACTGACAGAAGCCTGGGCTTAGGGAGGCCCTTGGCAGGCATGGTGATCTGGTGGATGCCCCTGGGGGGTTTTGTTTCAGAAGCTCGGGGTGGGGCAGGAGCTGTGGTAGCAGAAGTGGCAATGGACCCAGACTTCAGGCTGGAGGACTTCTCTCTTTTTCCAGCCTTAGAAATGCCTTTTCGAACCTGTACAGCCTTCTCCAGTGCCTGGGTCAGAAGCTCCAGCTCCTTGAGGTCTTGGGGGCTGGGTTTGCATGCTGTGAAAACCAAGACATGTGGTGGTCTTTCACTACTGTCCTTCAGGAGGGTCCCTCACTACTGCAAGCCAGAAGACAGGCCAGGGGCAGCACCTGGGGGGTGGGTGGCTTAGGTTTACCTGGAAATGGGGCCTCTTCATTAGTTTCTAGCCCTGGGGTTGGCTCCGGAGCTGGGGTCTTGGCTGGTCCCCTGTGAAGACACAGGGCAGCCTGTGGCACCACAAGAAGATAGAGCTCAGGCCCAAAAGATCCCACAGGGCCATGTGATCTGGAAGCAAAACCGCAGCCTCAGAGCCTTCAGGGAAAGCGGGGGAGCCCGATGATCGGCAACTCGGAAATGGGCGCTAGGCCTGGCCTCTCGGCCCGGGCATTCTAAGAGGGCTTCTGAGGGCGCGAGGGAGGACTAATTGGCGGTCGGGGTCCGCGTACCAGGTCCCCAGCAACCGCCGGGAGACTTGCAGGCTCCGCTCCAGCTCCCGCTGTCGCTCGGCACAGGCATCCAGGGCATTCCACAGCTCGGCCACCAACCTGGAAGGGACACACCGGCAGCTCAGTTCTGGAGCCAGCCTTTCTCGGGCCGTGCTCGCTCCGGCCACGCTCCCTCCACAGCCCTGACCCTACCGGTGAGAGCAAGAGGAGGGTAGCATGAAGGATGCAGTCGTTCTTCAGGATTTGCCGCGTCGGAAAGTCCCACCCCTTCCGGGCTGTAAGACAACCCCTTCCGGCCGGGCTACCCTATCGGATCCCAGAGTTTAGGACCCTCTCCATCCCAACTCCAGGGCTTCGTGTCCCGTCTTCCCCGGTGATCTACAACTTTAGCCTTCCTCGGGTAACGGACCTCTGATGCTGCTCAGGCGTCTAGTGTGGATAATTGGGTAGATGGTGGCGTCTGTAATGCCATCCGTAATTGGCTTTCCGGTTGGCTTCTTCTTTGTCCTTATTGAAATCACTGTGAACTGGGGCCGACCTGCCTTGCTGACCCCATCTGGCATAGGGTGAAACACATGAAGGGGCACAATCTGTATTTACTGAAAACGGTTGCTAGAGGTGTGGATGAAGTGTGTGTTGGGAGTGGGGTTGAGGAAGGAGGGAGTGTTCACTTTTGGACATACTGACAAGGTGATGACACCAAGAGGAGACATCGGGTAGGCACCTGGGTGGAGAGGGATGAAACAAGATGGCCCAAGGTGGGACACGTGTGCATGGACAGGGACAGGTGAGGAATGGATGATAGGACTGCAGAGACCAGTGTCAAAGAAGCAATGGGAGGCTATACTAGGAGCATGTCGGAGGGATGGGGGATGGGGTCTTCGGTGACTAAGGGAACGAACACCTTGAATGGGAGGAGTATTGCAGGCAGCAAGGCCAGTGTAATTGGAGATAAAAATAGAGATCCCGGAGAATCCGAAAGGACAAATCTTGGGAGAGAGGTTTGTTTAAAGATGGAGAGCTGGCCATTTTATAGTCTCTAATAGGAAAGTGCTGCCGCATAGGGAAGAAGGACATGGAGGGAAGTTGAGGGGACAGGGCAGGGAGAGAGGTGGGGACTCAGGCAACCCTGGGACTGTTCTTAGGGTGGCCACTCACCTGCAGTGGCCCATTTCTCATGCCCAATAGGGGAATGCTAATGCCATTTCTGCCAAAAATAAGATTCTCTGTGAGGTAGGAGGGGAAAATGCTTCCACTGGTACTTCGGAGATCCCATAATACAGTCACAGGGCACCAAGGTGATGGTTAGGACTTGAGGAGATGCAGGCAGACAGCACCAGTCAGGAGCTATCAAGGTGACCTTTAGAACTTGGGGAGACACAGGGAGACCCCACACTATGGTCACACAGTGTTGTGTTCCACTGGAGTGGTTTTCTTCTACAGGTGTAGGCTGGGAGAAGGTAGAGAACTGGGTTCACCCAGAGTTGAAATTTTGATAAGGGGCTATGGACAAGTGCCCCAATGTGACTTGGGTGACATTAGGAAGTGACAAGAAGGCAGTTTAGATATGCACATCACTCAGCTTCCACTATCCTCATCGCATTTAATCTTCACAACACCCCTGTGAGGTAGGTATTGCCCCATCTTACCAGTGAGGAAAATGAGGCTCACAGACACCCAGGAGCACATGGTCAGCAGAAGGTCCAAGATCCCAACACTGAGCATCCCCTTAACCACATACACACGGTGTGGTCAGTATTCTCTTACAGTAGCAGAGAGCTCCTGGAGACAGACTCACACACACATACACAGGCACCCAGGAAAACCACCAGTGAATCAGCATCTCCACCTCCACATCCTCTGGTTCAAGAACATTTGAGGGACATTCCTGGCCCAGTGGATCTGACATTTTGAGAGGAAACAAAAGCTATCGTAGCATGGAGTCAGTGGTCATTACAACTAGAGAGGTCAGGGCCACCTGGCAGATCCCTCAGATGTTTTGACTACTGCCTCCCTGGGGGGAGTCCCAGTCTCTAGGACAGTTATTCTCAGAAACTCACAGCAGACCCACCCTCACCCAGCAAGCAGGTTCAAGACTCTGAATGTTGCTCTTCTGCATTTGGGTCATCTCAGATGTTACAAATGACACTCCCCCAACCCTGCCCCCCGCAAAACCCCGCCTGGCTAACCTCTTTGGGAAAATTCTTTTTGCATAAAGTATGTCAGGATACCATTGAGGGATTTGAATTAGATTCTTTTCAGTAGATTCTAAATAATGTTAAGAATCTCTTATTTTAAAAATTTTAATGTCTTCTATTTAAAAATTCTCTTTTGTTTTCATCTTAGAAGAATGAAAGATAGAAATACAGAAAAAGAAATGGACCAGAAATTCAGCACAAAAAGAGATGTCTATACAGATACTATCTGTTGGGGACAAATGATTCTGGGAGGAGGGACAGATTTCTAAAATAAACTGGGAATACGAGAGTGAAGGAGCCTATGACAAGACGTTGAGGCCCTGGCCTGCAAACAGTCAAGGGTCTCACATCTGGTGATCACATGTAGTCCCTGACAATGCACAGGGCAGGACTCCCCCACCATGGGACCCTCTGCCCTATGAGAGAGTAGATGACCTCGGCGGGCAGAGGTGGACATGGGGACAGTGTGCTTGGAGCTCTCGGCTCCCATAGAACCCCAAACCAGGTAGATGCAGGGAGCAAGGAAGCTGTTCCAGGCTACCTGGATCATATGTGTTCTCAATTGTGAAAGCTGTCAGCTCCCAGGATGGGGGTTCAGTGGGGCTGGCTATCAGACAGTGGGCTTAAGCTGCACAGAAAGAAAAGAGGACAGACACAGGAGAGGACAGAGAAACAGGCTTCACATGGTGTGTTGTTTGAGATTAAAGTTTCAAAAGAGAAAGGATGAGTTTTTGTTCTGAGTTTGACATTCTGATGGCTCAAATGTGACTCCCCTGGTGAAAGATGGTCAGTGCCCCAAGTTCTCCTCTGTTCCCCGTGGAGGACACCAGAGGTCTACATATCATCCATCGCCAGTGCCCCCACTCCTTGCTAGTGCAGCAGCAGCCCTGTTTCCACAAAGATTCACCTTGGCAAACACTGACACACTCACAGCTTCATTCAGGGAGCCCAAGTTCGTGTCCTGCTCTTCCTTGCTGGAGGTGGATAGGTTTTTCCTTTTCACTTGTTGCTGGGGAACATTGCTTTCTGGGGAACTCAGGGGATGACACTGTAAACACGACTTCCTGGCATGATGGTGGCAAGGCTGTATGTTTGAGTCACTGCCTGGGGACAGTGCTGAGGTAGGTTGGGGTGGGCTGCTGTCCACCGACTTCGTGGGACTCACACCACTGATGGAGGAGTACCCTGAGGTCATAATGTCCTTGCCCAGTTCTCTGCTGCGGCAGAGAAGGGGCTCGGGTCCTGGAGCCAGAGGTGTCTGGGTGCTTGTCACCATGGCATTCAGGTCCTGATATGCTTCATCCTCCAGGCAGGCCTCCTCATCGCTCGATTCCTGGCAGCAGTGCTGTTCTGGGTTGAGGTACACCACGGTGACATCGAGGATGCCGCTGGGAGCTGTCACTACAGGAGAAGTCACGCCACAGACTGAGCACTGGGATAACCCTGTTCAGTTGGGACCCCAGTGGCCCAGGGGTCAGCTCTCACCCAGCTCTCTCAGCTCCATATCCTGGACCTTGCTACAGTCCCCTGTACTGATCTCCTTTGGGTTAAGTGACTCCTTTAAATTTGGAGTGGCACCCAACAGGACTTAGGGGACAGCAGGAAGTGATAACTTCTATGGAGTACATGAGGCACAGAGCCTGAGAGGGCAGTGGGGGGACACCTCACACAATCTTCTAGAAAGACCTTATGTAAATTCCAGACAGGCTGTCTTCCTCTTCCCCTGCCCTTGTGAGGCCCTTCTGTAAACATAGGCCTGGCTGGAGCCTGACACACATTTGGCCTAAATCCTCACCCTCTCCCACCTGCTGTGGTGTCTTAGGGCTTCTGCTCTCTCACTTCTATGTCTGGACACGTTCTCCTGCAGGTAATGCCAGGGGCCCTCAATGAGAACTATCCTTCTGCCCGCTGGCCCCTGGGTGGCTTTGTGGCCATGGGACTCACCATCGCCCTCCTTCTCCCCCTCGCTCTCCTGGTCACCCTCATAGCCGGAGCAGTAGTCCAGGTTCCAGTCTAGGAAGCTGCCAAGTAGTGTATCCTCCTGGCTGGACAGCTCTGCAGTGGGCGTGGTGACGAAACTGCCCCTGTCCTCCTGGAGGCTGTTCTCTCGCTTCCTGGGGGGGGGGGGGGGGGGGAGCCAGAAACCCAGTCACAGGCAGCATCGTTAGGTCCTTGACACCTGCTACCCTGCTCCAGTGTGCTGTGATGGAGATGACACAGCCACCCAGTGCCTGCCCTTGGAGGCCCAGAGGCAAGGCTGGAGGCACAGTGAGAATCCTGGCTCATCTGGACTTTGCAGGATCAATAAAAGTTCTTCAGGTGGGTGAGGCAGGGAAGGGAAGTTATTCTAGGTGGGACAGCCAGGACATTGAGATGGGAGAGATAGAATTACATGGGATACACACGGGAAATTAGGGTGGAGGTGAGGGTGAGCAAGGGAGGATCTGAGGACACTAATCAGGTATAGCTAGAGTGTAGGAAGTGCATGCAACACTATGGAGTAGAGGGCCCAGGGTAATGTGACAGGTGTGGGGCAGGGCCAGAGCCTGAGATGGGCTCAACCTGTGCTCAAGCCCATCTTTCCTCACAGGGTACCAGTCAAAGCAAGAGAGACAGCACGTTGGAGGGAAGACAGAGTTGCAGACAGTGCGGCTCAGGCCCAGGGGGCCAAGGCCTACATTCAACTCAGCTTCAATTTTCATGGGATCTGTTCCTTTGTTCTCTAATGCCTTAGGAGCCCCCTGTATAAAATAATGGAACCTCTCAAGAAGTTGCATGGGTCACAAGGGAACCCAGGCCCAGCACGTGGGAGCCAACACTGAATCACCCTTACAGACACTGGGTTTACTAACCTCTTGGTTCTCCTTGCAGAGGGAGAGCTAAGGAAGGAGTGAATGTCCCCTGAGTTGAGGAAAGATGCGGGTTCTGGGCTCTCTTGTTTCACTCCCAGAGCTGCACACACCTGGCTGTAGGTCAGCACCTGAGAGAAAGGCAGGATCAGAGGGAGGTAAGAAGCCCCAAGGGGCAGACAGGGAACTGTCCTCACCCCA